TTTTTTATCATGACTTCCTGGAAGTCAGTTCTGTTTTCCAGCAACAGCTACTAAAACTGCTAATTGACAAGAAAAAGGTGAGCTACTTTTCACTTAACATCACAGTCCCTGAGACTCTGGAGCCCATTTCAGCCTAGCAGTTTCACATTGTGGCAGAGACTAGATTTTTTTTTTTGTTGATGCTGGTGAAAATAAAAATTAAACTCCAGACAAAGAATGTTTTTAAGGAAATGGAGGAGTACGCAAAGTAGTGAAGTGTCTGTGTGAGCTAATTACTATTAAAGGTGAGGTGTACTATACCCCCCAAAAAACTATACATGAAATGCTTGTTTTGTCACTTTTGTATGGTTAATGCCACAATTATTATGCCCAGTAAATGTTTTTACTTGGTTGACTTCCTCATCTTGTCCTTTAGTGTTCATTCCCTCTTTAGACATACTGAACACAGATCACTTCAGCCAACACCTAGAGGAAAGCGTATTGAGAATAATACTTGACCAAAGTGACTTACATTATTGATAATCTGAACACTTGCAGCACATTACATTTCAGAAATGTATTGTAAGCTAAGGTTGCATGGTAAAATGTGAAGGATACACATACTGTACAGTACCTGTCCAATTTATATTCTATCCAAATTATTTTAAAAGGGTCATATAAGGCCTTTGGAAATACTAATTGTGTAATTTTGTATTAAACTCAGGTTTTTTTCTGCCATACTACATTCCTGTTAAATGCCTCTTCCATAAAGTTCAGCTCCCCACTTTAAGAAACTCCACCCATCCAGTCATTATTGGCAAGTCACTTATTGCTGGTAAGAATTGTGGCACCTGGTAGCTTAGGGCACAATGCAGGAGTACCCCCTTTAGATGGGTTGTCAGTCCATCGGAAGGCCTATACACAAGCACAAAGGACAGTTTAGTGATGCCAGTTAACCTAGCCAGCATGTCCTAGGAAGGAGGTACAAACCAGAGCACCTAACAGAGAGGCACTTGACTAGA